GGAGGAAACGGGGTGGGGTAGAGGTGGAGCCCTTTTGATGTTCTGCAGCGTTGGAAGAAAACAACTTTGACAAGTGGCCCGTACAAGTCCTGCGTCACCCCCGTTGGTGAAACCGTGCATTGTGAGTCTCTCGCACACACACACACACACACACACACACACACACACACACACACACACACACACACACACACACAAGTACACTGTGGAATGCACAGCTGGGGCATCATCTCAAGCACTGCAAACACTGCGAGCACTCAGACTGTCGTCTTCATAGCCTCTCATCTGTGTCCTATGTCACACACAATGCACACACCTTGACGCAGCCCGAGCGCGCGATCACGGTCCGTCGACAGGTTGACCAGATATTGGGGACACTGCAGTGCCAGCGGTGAGCACGCACCAGGGCACTCGTGAATTGACGATGATTGAATCTTGATGAACCACTCAAGGCGTGGACAAAGAAGGGGGGGGTGGGAAGGCTCACACAAACATCAAACAGCACGAAGGACCAACACAATACAACACAACACGACACGACACAACACAACACGACACAACACAACACAACGACACACCACGACACACCACGGCACACCACACCTTGGGGAAGGCGCAGTGGTGCCTCGGCAGTCCAGAGCTCGTGAGCTCAATCTGGTCGTCAGCAGCGCGCGTCGCGTTGAATTCGGCAACCTCCGTGGGCGTGAACATCTGCACATAACGTACACACCAACACCACCAGTAAGCAGTGAGGCAATGCACGCACAAGAGCACAAGAGCACATATATGTGTGTGTGTGTGTATGTGCGGCTCGCAATAGCGCAGCCCAAGGCTGAGCTGTTCGCCTCGTCCACGCCCTCAACATACGCGAGCAACGCCGTCATGCGTCTGCAAGAACTCGTCCTGCTCCTGCAGCTTCAGCTGGAATTTAGCGGCGGCGTTGCCTGCAAGCATGATATGCAAGGAGAAGCGCATGAAATGAGTTGAACACACACACACATGTGCGCACGCACACAGACACACAGACACACGCACGCACGCACGCACGCACGCACAAGCACACACACTGTTGGGAGAAACAAGTAGGCTGAGTTGTTCACCCACCTTGGAGGAACGCAATGCGCAGGCGCTGGATCTTGGCCGCAACCTCCCTGCATCACGACGTTTTGGACACAGTAAGCTGGAGCATAACTCGTGCACTCACTGAGCTGTACACGCAACGTAACATCTGATTCAACAACACATGATGCAACCGCGCCCACGTGCACGTACCGCTTGTAGTTGTATTGACGGACGCTGGCAGCTGCGCGCTGAATGATTGCACGCGAGTCACGCAGACTCGGCAGACCATTTCTGTGGTGAAGGTGACAAAATGGGGTGTTGGTGCAATGTTGCTCAACGCACGACGACGCAAGCACGCCACTGGCAGCTACGAAGCACATCAAACACACACACACACACACACACACACACACACGCACGCACGCACACATAGATACACACGCACATACGCACGCACGCACACATAGACACACACACACAACACACACAGACATAGACAGTACCGGCGGGTCTTGCTGGAGTGGCGCTGCAACGCCTGCACAAAGAGTGCAACTTGCAGGTCCCAATGGTCTGAGAGGAAACATGACAAAGGAAAGGGGGGCGTGCAGACAGGATGAGCAACGGGCACGACAAGACAACCACAAGTGGTGGATTGAAGCAAACGACAACACGCTGTTCGCGTCAGCACAGGGACATGCCACACCGCCATCCCACTTGTCCAGCAACCTTTCCTCATCCCCTGTCTCCCCTCCTTCCCCCACCCCCATCCGCTGTTGCTTTCTATTCCTCATTCTCGACCTACCACACTCGTCATGGGTGTACTTGTGTGCAAATGACGCCATCGTCACAGTCGCCATGGCCTGCGCAATTTCGCTCCGCGCCGCAGCCGCTGACGCGTCGCTCTCGTTTGCCAGCCATGCAAACGCCGCAAGCTCTGCTGCCAAAGGCATCGACTGACCACCACCACCACCATCACCACCGCTCCCGGCAGGGCGGCTGTTGTGATCATCGCCAACAGTGACGCCGCGGCTGTGCTTGTGCAGCGTGCGGAGAAGGACGTTGACAAACCCAAACGCGGCCACAACCGCCTGTGGTGGACAATTTGTCCAGCGCTGCCGGAAGAACTTGCCGCTGCGGAGTTTGGCCTTTTCCATATCAAAGCTCGCATCGTGTTGGACGCCATGCTGGCGCAAGAATGGTGACAGCAGCGTGCACTCGTCAGTAAAGCACAAGCAACACAACAACACAAGGAGACAACAGCACTATCCACGCCTCATTCAGACTGCATGCACAAAACTGCGCACAAGAACAAACACATACATCTAACCTTTGGTCCCTGAACGACCCAAACACACACGCACACAGACACGCACACACGCACAAGTACACATAAGCACGCACACACACACGCACACACACGCACACACACACACGAGTATACACACGCACACACACGCACGAGCATACACACACACACACAAGTACACAAGTACACACACGTCCTCACCGGCTCCGGCTCGTCGTCCAGTCGCGCGTGCACGTGATCGTCGGGATCGATGTTGAGGGTGTGCTGCAACAGCCGGTGCTGTAGGTCTTCGTACGCCATCTTTCGCTTCTCTTGGAACGCCTAATTGTGGTGGTGATGTAGATGACGTGTGGGTGGGACGGGATTGGACGTACAAAAAAAAAAAAGGAGAGGAGATATCCACGCATCGCATGAGAGTTCATGCTCAAACCACACCCAATTCACAACACACGCACACACAACAGCAGCACCTTCTGCTTGACAAAGATCCGGACACCGCGGGAAACGCTTTCCGCCAACACAGCGAGGGCAGCGTCGTCCACACGTGTGCTCTTCGCCGCTGTTGGCACATGACATCGTGCAGTGTCATTGTGAACCAAAACATACACGGTGTTCGTCATGTTCGAGCACAATGAATGAGTGCGAGCGCAAGCAACACCCGCACGCGCACACATCCCCCCACCCAACTCACGTACACACAAACATAACAACATCAACACAAGTACACATAAACGCATACGTGCGCGCGAGCACACCTGTGTCTGTTGGCGTTGCAATCCCCTCGCGCACAACATCGCGCAGCATGATGGTGACGGCAGCGACAACCTTGGCAACGCTCCCAATGTCATCCCCCTCAGCCTCCGTCAGAAACCGGCCAGGCATCGGTTGCATGAGCTTGCGCACAATTCCGCGCCAGTGGGCGCACTCACCACGTCGCTGGATCTCCAGGCATAAGTCGTGCGCAATGCGTGCAAGCACTACCACCATGGCAGGCGTTCTGCCGTGAAACGTTGATGGCGCGACACAGTCAGGGTAGAATACCGTAGAAAGGACAAGGAATGTGGTTGTGGGAGGAGCGAGAAAGAAAGTAGCGAGCTGCCGAGACGGCCGTTGTTCGTCTCACAACAAACCGGTTTCCATGCAAAAGCGCGCACTCTAGAGCACACACACACACACACACACACACACACACACACACACACACACACACACACACACACACACACACACACACACACACACACACACACCTGTGCTGTGGCTGCATGGTTTGGCGGAGTGCCTGTGCGAGGGCGATGGCGAGAAGAGCGATGCGCTGCTGGCCCACAACGAGGCTTGGGTTACGCGTCACCAGCACAGCATGGTACGCGCGCATAAGCTTCGAGGCCACAATGCCGTGAGCAATGGACGCAGCCTCTGGCGGGCACAGCGGCAGTACGCCGTTGAATACCTCGTTCCTATCACCATCATCATCATCACCATCATCATCATCATGATCCTGATTGCTCGTCGCTCCTCGGCGCCGCCCATGCAGCGGAACCTGATGTGTTGCGTCGTGTTGGGGTGCGTTGTGTTGTGTTGTTAGGGTATGGGTTGTGTTGTTCGGGCATGTGTTGCGTTGTGTTGTGCGGGTGAATACGGAGAAGATACATGAAGTTGCCCTGACATAACAGTGATGGCCACGAACATCGAAACACTGTCCATATCCACACACTTGTGCGAGTCTGCTTACATTGCTGTCGAGTGCACACATTGCGCTCGCCGAATCGGAGAAATCACACGACACCGCCATCACCTGCACACTCAAGCGAGCGCACACATGCACGTACATGTGAGCTATGCGCCATCAAACACACACACACACACTGCAGGTTCATCATCAAGACATGGAGACGAGCAGAAACAGTCAACTCACTCGCATTATCCCGCGCGCGCACACACATAACAACCACACACAATCACGCAAACAAACACACACTCTCACACCCTCACACACACACACTCACACACACACACCCTCACACCCTCACACACACACACGCGCGCGCCCTCACACACACACACACACTCTCTCTCTCTCTTTCTCTCTCTAACACACACAGACTCAGCCACACCTTGATCGCCCATGGATCGACGTTTGCGGCCTCGCTGCCCTGCACGCGGACGAGCGCACCGGTGACGCCCGCAACATACAGCAGCTGCGCAGTTGTAAAGGGAATGCGATGACGAGTTCGCCCACGTGGCGTGATCCGTGCACTGAGCTCGGCAGCGTGGCGTGCCATGTGCTGCAGGTGCTGGAGCCACGACAGCTTGCTGTGCAGTGACACGTCTCGGCTGGCACTTGTTGCTGTGTCTGCCGCGGTGATGGCGGCAACCCTGGATGTGCGGTGGTGGAGATTTGTCACAATGTCGCGCACAGATATGGACGCGATGTTTGACCGCTTCAGCGCGCGCGCACCGTACTTCATCTCAGAGGCCTTGCAAACAAACACATACGCGTGCGTGTTGGGGGAGAGCATGAGTACATGCGGGCACAACAACAACGCGTATCGTGGCCAAGAAGTCCAGCAACACGCACAGTTGTGATATTACCAACGCAATTGAGCATTCAGCACACACACGCACATCAATGAGCTGCTTCTCCTTCTCCCGCCCCGGCTCCATACCTTGACAAGCCACGTGTGTATCTCTGCAGGCGTGTGTGTCTGGTCGAGGGCGGCGTCGCAGCAGAACTGAATTGTGTTGAGAAGTTGCTGTAGATGTGTCAGGAACCGCTTGCGATCAGCAACAACCCCCATGCGGCTTGCAGGCGCAAGCGTCGTCAGTTCATCCATGTTGAGTGGCTCAGACTGCAGCTGCTTGACGAGCGAATGCACAAATGACAGCCCGAGACGCACAGTATCGTGCTGATGCGTTGCAACCGCCTATGTGTGTGTGTGTGTGTGTATGTGTGTGTGTTCGTGTCATTGGTGAGGCCCTTGATCATCAAAGCAAGTACATTTGTTCACGAGCAAAACTCCCCCATGACAATCGCATATACACGCAAACAGCCGTCGCAGCAAGTCCAAATACTTTCAAACACAATAGCATCAAGCACCTCGCCACTGACAACAATCCATCTCCTTCGTCACACCTTCAGCTGCGACGTGAATGTGCCGAGAGCACGAAGGATTTGCGCGTGAAGCGCAGCCGTCGTCAGCATTGATGATGAGGAGATGTTGTGCTCTACCCCCTGTGTGTCGCCACCGTTGTCATCATCGCCACCGCCATCATCACCATCATCATCACCATCACTTGCACCCTTGCCTTCGAGACGTTGCTGGCGCGGCGGCTTGTGCTTGATGCGCAGTTGCTTGAGCAGTGTTGGTCGCGCAGACAGACGCACACGCACACGCATTCCGTTCACAAACACGTCGCGTGGTGGACGCCCGCGAAGCAGCAGGAACACAGACGACGTTGAGCGGTCAACGCACACCGTCGCCTGGCTATCAGGCCGCTGCACAAGACTCGTGACAATCCCCCATCCAAGCGCCTCTTCCGCAAAGGAGACGGAGATGTGCAGGGTTGCACCCACGGTGCGGCGAACAAATCTGGCAGCCTCATTGAAGGTGGGCACAAGCAGGCTGGCCCTGGCTGCGTTGTAGTGCTGTGTGGGCTCATACAGCGAGACGGTTTGCAGTGCAAGCTTCAGGCGCACGTATTCCGGGGAGAGAAGTCCTTTGCCCAAAGAAATCAACAGCAGGAGCGACGACACACCACTGCTGCTCGCCAACCGAACACGCAGTACGTGTGTGTGTATGTGTGTGTATGTATGTATGTGTATGTGTGTATGTGTGTGTGAAATGGATGTGGGGAACGTGCGGGGAGCGACAGATTGTGGTGGTGATGATGAGCAAGAAATCATGGCGCTGTAACAACAACAGTTGCAGAGAGCCGAACATGTGGGCTGAAGACGCGACGCAAGCAAGCAAACACGCTGACAAAACTTCAAGGTCAATGTCCCACCCCAACATGATGTGGGTGTACGTACGTTTGCAGACGGGTGCGCAGTCGTGCGAGCTCCACGTCTGTGAATGCGATGCCAGTCCCAGACGCCCGTTGTTGTGTCGGCACAAACAACGTCAACGTGTGCTTGATATCGTCTTGGAACGCAGCGAGAACAAGGTCCACCCGCCGCTGCAGCTGTGCCTGGTACGTGCTTGCAGGCAGCAGTTCCTTGAGGGAAGACACCGTCCTGTCGTCCCCATTGTCGCCACCGCCAGCGCTGGTGGAAAACCGCTTCTCAACACTCGCAAACACCTGGTGTTGAGTAACATGCACAAAGACATGACGTCAGTGCAATGTGTAGTGGTGAGGGGCGAGTGCTTCCCGGCGTGTACATTTGTTGTAGTGTGTTTTGCAGAGTTGGGTTTTGTGTGTTTGCGAGCTCAGGCAGCATGCTTTGTGTGTTGAGTGCCCTGAAAGCCACCATAGACAACGGTGTGGCGTGGCTGTGCAAACCAAACTGCCATGCTGGTGTATGTGACCTTGCGCTGTAGCGACGTGGAGGCACGAAGAGTGTCGACCTTGGGATGCAGCGCAAACCGCTGTGTCCGGGTGGGATCAGCGGTGGTCACGCCATCCGCAATCTCCACCTGAAGACATGCAAACAACGTTGCCGGCGGTGCATGCACGGCGTGAATGCAACATACAGACAGACAGACAGACAGAGAGAGAGAGAGCGCGCGCGGGAGGTATCCACACACATGCGCACACACACACACACGTGCACGCACACACGTGCACATACACGCACATATCAACACAAACACAAACACACGACAACCTTGAATGCGCGAGCGGCAATGCATAGGTCAAGGTGCAGCCATTTTTCGGCTTCCGCAAATGCGTCAGCGCGCATGTTGGCAGTCAGCGTGTCGTGTGCCCGCAAGGCTGCCTCAACCAACGCGTCTTGCACTGGCATGGCCAGGAGTGATGATGATGATGATGATGATGATGATGATGATGATGATGATGTTGATGACGTGGATGCTGGTGTGGACGTGTGCTTGAATGTGCTTGTGAAGTCAGAGGACGAGAGCCAGGAGAGCGCGTTGCTTGCAGGCATGCGGGCGAGATGGCACTGCGTCTTGTTCTTGGCTTCATCAAACACCAAAACCGACACGGAATGCGCCCCAGATTGCCTGCACACGACACGACGCGCGGTGTACGATGTGTGGTAAGCAACCGTGAGTTGGCAAGCAGCAGGGAGGGTTTTGCGTCTCAACCACTGTCACGTGTGTTTCTTCATTCGTGCATTCGCGCGCACCAACACACACACACACACGCACACACACACACACACGCACACGCACACACACACACACACACACACACAGATGCGTGCCCACCACCACCACCACCAATTAACACCACCACGAACTGACGACCACCACGAACATCACCGATACCGAATGAGGAGCTCCACGCCGGATGCAAGGTCCGAAAGCATGCTGCCCTTGATGTCCGGAAAACGGGCCAGACACAACACCATGTGGTGGTGAGCACCGCCGCCGCCGCCGCCACCATGGAGCGGCATGGTGGCGGGCTGGAAGAGTGCGGGGCGCAGCTCGAGCAGCCAGTGCTCCTGTGTGAGCTGCAGCTGCAGTGTTTGCTTCGTCCGCGGACCCAGTGCCGCCATCAACTTGTTCCACTCACCTTTCACTTCACCCTTCTCGCCATCTGCGCTGCCTCCGTGCTTCTTCTTCTTCTGCTGCTTCTGCTGCTTGGCCGCTGATGGCTCGCCGTGCGCCGGCATCGACGATGATGACAATGATGATGGTGATGATGACGATGATGACGGTGGGAGGGAGAGGAGATGGGCGACAGCAAACTGCTGCACATCGTCGAGTGCTTCCACAGACCCTGAACGCGCACGCAAACACATGCAGCCACGTGTGTGGGGCGGGGGCGTTGCCGTTAAAGCGTGGTTACTATCGGAGAGAATTCACCGTGTGTTCACCACAGTCGACAATTCCTCTCAATGGCCCATGCAGCCACAATTAAGCCAGCGTTTGCGTCTGCTGCCTCACCTTTGAGGGCTGGGGCAGAGGGTGGGTTGACTTGCTCATCCGTGAGTGCGTATTCGATGAGGAGAACAGGGAGGAAGAGGTCGGATGTGTACAGAATCAGCTCCTCCTTTGACGGGTCCGTGTGACTGTCGCTGTGGTGGAGACACACGGCACGCAGTGGCGATGGCAGCGGCAATTGCGTGAAACGCGGCAAACGTGACACGGCAGGACGAAGGTACCACACACAAATCACGCCATCACAATCACACCGTAATCGCTGCACATGTGCGCGCGTACCACTCAAGATCGTGGATTTCGAGTCCGTCACGTCTGATTTGGGAAATGGAATCGGCGGTGAACTGACGACAGCGGCCAGGGATGGCCAGGCCAACCAGCATCTGCAGGGCGGTAGTGATGGTGTGCATGTGTGTTTATGAGTGAGTGAGTGTGTGTGTGTGTGTGTGTGTGTTTGTGTGAGTGTGCTTATGTATGTGTGTGTGGGCGCGTGTGAGTGTGCTTATGTATGTGTTCGTGTGTGCTTGTGTGCGTGAGTGAGTATGTTTGTGTGTGTGCGTGTGATCGTACGTCGTGTGATATGTCAGCGCGTGTGTTTTGCATGATTGGTGTAAATTCGGTTGCGTGTTAGCGTGATGGCCAAGCTCAAGATGACACGGTGCATACAACAACAGCACCAAGTGGTACAAAGCAGTGGAACAGAATATGACCTGCGCGTGTCCACGTGCGTCCTGGTACGAATACCAGTGACTCTTCAGCAGATTGGGCGACACGTAGCTGCCGGAACCGTACAGGGCACTGACACACACACACACACATGCACACAGCAGCTCACATGGTGAACATGTGCGCACATCTCACGTCCACACACTCAAGCATCACATTGCACACGGATCAGAAACATGTGTCCATGTATGCATCCTACCCTGTCTTCATGCCGATGTAGCGTCCGCTGTCGTCAAAGTCCCCGGGAGCGACAAGTCCCTGATTTGCAATGCTCTCGGCAACATTTCGCTCGCACGTACCATGGAACGCCAACCGCGGCAACAGCGTCTGGCGTATGTGTGTGTGTGTGTGTGTGTGTGTGTGTGTGTGTGTGTGTGTGTGTGTGTGTGTGCGTGTGAGTGTGAGTGTATGTGTGTGTGTGTGTGCGTGAGTGAGTACATGTGTGTGTGCGTGCGTGAGTGAGTACATTTGTGTGTGTGTGTGTGCATGTGAATGTGCCTGCCATTGTGGTCGGTCGGCACTCATTTGCATCGATACACCTGCGAGCACACGAGGCAAAGACGCCCCCTTCTTAGTACGCTACGAAACAGCAGCGTTCAATACCTTGATTTCCTCTGGATACTCGTCTGCATGTGCGTTCGACCTGTCGTGGACAGCCCCCGTGTCAAGGAGCCTGGCCACGGCCTCATTGTAGCGCTCAAGCAACGTTGGGTGTAGGACGTTTTCGACATGTGTCAGGCGAGCGGAATACCGGCGCTGGCGTCCACCTTCACGTGTGGGCTTGCGCAACGTCGTGTGCATGTGCTTGAGCAGAGCGCGATAGACGAGCGTGTCCAATTCCCGGACAGAGAGTGTCCCAAGCTGGTTGGTGGTCGTGTCACAATGTATCAAGCAGCAGAACAGTATTGATGCAGTTGAGATCAATGTGGCGACAAGTTGTGAGATGGAGGATGAGGTAGGTTCCATGATGGGGGGTGGCGATGGCAACGACAATCCAAACGAGGCACGCCGCCTATGTTCAAGTCAACAACAACAACAACGACGACGACGACGACGACAAACACAAGTGGTAAGGCATGGGTGCCTCTTGTCCTGGCGTCAACCACCATTTCAGTCTGTCGCACCTGCTGCTTGGTGCTCGTGTTCACGTCTCTCCATTCGAGCAGGTGGTTGTAGTTGGTGGTGGTGTTGTTGACTGTCACGGAGGGCTTACCGCCAGAGTGGACGGCTCGCACTGGAAATAAAACAAAAATTCGGCCAACAAACATCAGACGCGACAACGTGAGCATTCAATCTGTGCAACACACACTGCTGTTATGAAGTGAACCACAAACACATGATGCATTCCACACACACACACACACACATCGCATTACATCACATCACATCATATGGTACGGCAGGGTCACCATCGTGCACCTGTGCCAAGACGGCTCTGCTCGTCACGGAGGAAGTGCGCTGCTGTGTTAAACACGCTGAACACGAAAAACTGCTCGGGGGCGAACGGGTGCAGCGGTGTGTTGAACCAGTGCTCCGTGTGTGTGTTCAGCACAAGCGCCAGCACGGCCTGCTGGGCAGCCGTGAGGTTCTGTGCGCTGTGGATGGTGACGCGTGGAGTGACGTTGGGATGGTTATCGTCAAATGCGATGGAAATGTCCACAACTGCCTGAACACCATCGTCTGCGTGAACAAAGCAAAGGCGACGCGCGCGCAACGACCCACACCAATGCACAAGGGCAACAAGTGAGGGACAGGGGAGGACTAGCCCAGGCAGTGGCACGCAGGCAGGCAACGTTGATGCCAAGGGCGACAGCATGAGGACGCCAGTGCTGAACTCTCACCCATACAGACACACACTCACTCACACACACACACACAAGCACGCACTCACACATTCACACACGCACACACGCACACACGCACACACGCACACACGCACACACGCACACACGCACACAAGCACACACACACACACACAAGCACACACGCAAGCACACACACGCACACACACTCTCCCACTCCCACCACATGTCAGCCATATTCTCACCGCTGCCATCGACGGTAATAATGACGGTGGTGCCGTCCTGCACCTCCACGCCATCAGACTCAAACACACGCGCAGCGAACTCAATCTCCTCCTCCACAGACGGGCGGTCATTCTCCGCAACGGCGAGTGGCGGCGGCAGCAGCGCCCTGAAGGGAGATAATGTGTGTGTGTGTATGAGTGTGTGTGTGTGTGTATGAGTGTTATGTGTGTGTGTATGTGTGTGTGTGTGTTTGTGTATGTGTGTATGTGTGCTATGTGTGTTATGTGTGTTATGTGTGTGTGTGTGTGGACGTGTCATGTGGTGAAAAGAGGCCGAGAGCAGCAGAACAAACCAAACAGGGCAGAAGGTCAAACGCGCGTACCGTCTGAGCTGCACCATTCGAGAGCGGGTGATGACTCCTCTTCGCACGGATGCATTCAACGCCTGGCATGCGCATTCAAGCAAGTGGTGTTGACGTGAGCCAATGATGTGGTTTGACAACAACGCTGATTTCCCGAGTCGTCTCAGCAAACCCACATGCACACGCCTGTATCCACTGGCAATGTGTAAATGACGCACAGGTGCACAAGTACACACATGGACACACACACACACACTCTCTCTCTCTCGCATACACGTGCATTTACACTCGTACACACCTGCAGGAGGCTGCGAAGAGCGCTGTTAGTTGCGTCATCATCACCGCGGCGTTGCTGCTGCTCCTGCTGTGCACTGTCACCACCACCATCGCCGTCATCATCACTTCCACTGTCACGGCCCAGCTGGATTTCGCCAACGACTTGCATCGGGCTCTTGCTGCTGGTGCGCTGCAGCAGATACACGCGATCCACTGGCAACGGTGGCAGCACAGAGGCATAAACACGCCCAAACATGCACAGCGTAAGCAGTGGCCACGCAAATGCGCACGCACGTTCATGTGTGTGTGTGTGTGTGTGTGTGTGTGTGTGTGTGTGTGTGTACAACGTGTTAAACTGAAGCTGGGCATGACAACACCTGTTGAACATCTAGCACACCATTCAAGTGGCAGGGAGACGACAATGGTACATCAAGACATGCGGCCCTTCGCCTGCAACACGCAGAACCACAAAAAGCAATCACACACACACGCACGCGCGCACCCTCAAACTGGATTGGTGTCCAGTGCTGCTGCAGCTCTTGCGTGAGGGGCGCTGGCTGTGACCGCGCCACTGTCATGTGCGGCTGCTTCATCCTCGACCACCTGCCCATATGGGAGAGGGTATCGACCATTGCTGCGTGCAGCGATTCAATGGCACTGCTCGGCTCGGGCCGCAGCCACGTCACATGCCCCCGCTTTCCCTGCACATGCGCGTGTGTATACGTGTGTGTGTGTGTGTGTGTGTGTGTGTGTGTGTGTGTGTGTGTGTGTGTGTGTGTGTGTGTGTGTGTGTGCACGTGTGTGTGTGTGTGTGTGTGTGCACGTGTGTGTGTGTGTGTGCACGTGTGTGTGTGTGTGTGTGTATATATACGTGTGAAAAAGAGAGAGGTGGGGAGGGAGGTGTGTGTGTGTGTGTGTGTGTGTGTGTGTGTGTGTCGGAGAGGACCATCAACAGCATGAGAGCGCATCCATGCAGCGTACGTGGTTGAAGGAGCCAAAGGAGTTGAGGTTGAGCGTGAAGGGCATCACCCGCTGAAGCGCAGACGCCAGTCGCACCTTTACCTCTGCCCACAATGTGTGATGTGATCAAATGATCAATGTGAGAACTGGCTTGCGTCGCGTGCGCGCGCGTGCGTGTGTGTGTGTCTGTATGTAAGTGCGGCCATGTCTCGTTCCTGTCCTCTTCCCGTTAACTTCATCTCCACTCTGCGGGTACATGTGCACGTGAGACATGGCTACAGCTGCAGTGACCATCGCAGGAGGGGCCCTCACGAACCGTGCCATCGCGAGGGCTGCACAAACGGATAGAAGAGGGTGATGTGCGGCGGCCAGATGTCCACGTGCCGCTTGTCATACTTGCGGCTGCGAAGCAGGAACAGTGTGTGTGTGCGTGTGTGTGTGTGTGTGTGTGTGTGTGTGTGTGTGTGTGTGTGTGTG